AAAAAAAAAAAAAACCAAAAAAGAAGTCCTATGATAGACTCTTATTGGTTCAGACTGAGTCCTCTGCTCATCTTCCACCCAGTCAAGGTGACCTACCTTACCCAGGTCTCATGGATGGGGTCAGCACTTGAAAACATGGACTGGAAAACATGGAGAAGGCAAAGATAGGTCCTTTTATCAGAAGAGCTGCATGCAAAACCAGTGTATCCCCCACGTTCTCAAGATACAGCATCATCTACAATATAGACCCACATTGAAAACATTCTCATTTGAATATTGGCGGTGCCTAAAGCTGCAGTCCCATAGTAACTCTCACTAGTAGGGGATAAGAAAGGACTCATCATAAAAAAGAAAAAAATAAACAAAAAAAGCTGCTGGGTGGGGTGGCGCATGCCTGTAATCCTAGTACTCAGGAGGCTGAGGCAGGAGGATTATTGCGAGTTTGAGACCAGCCTGAGCTACAAAGTGAGCTGAAGGCCAGCCTGAACTGCATAGCAAGACCTTGCCTTAAAAAGACAAAAAAAAAAAAAAAGAAAAAAAAGAAAAGAAAGTGAGAGAAAAGGAAGAAGGGCTCATTATGAACGTGCTGCATTTTTTTTGAGACAGGGTCTCCCTATGTAGTTCAGGCTGGCCTTGAACTCACTATGTGGCCCAGGCTGGCCTTGAATTATTGCCATGATTCTCTTGCCTCAGCCTCCCAAATGCTGGGATTACAGGTGTGAGCCATCACACCTGGCCACATGCTGGGATTTTTGCAGCTCAGATCAGGCAGGGGCAAGGAACCAACATGATGAAAGATGCCAGAACCTCAGGATTCATTCTAGGCCAGAACACTGGACAATTTCTAGCATGAGGTTTTTCCAAACTATTACTCTCTAGCCTAGTCAGGAGTCTCTGATCTAAGATTTTCCTTGTTCCTTTGGATGAGGGTTGTGTGGAGCAGGGTAGGCTGAGAACCAGGACACCCAGGGGAGAGCCCCCACAATAAATAAATAAATAAATAAATAAATAAAAGGGAGAGCCCTATACTGGCTGTGGTGACAGAAAGCCTGTAATCCCAGCACTTTGGGAGGCTGAGGCAAGAGGATTACAAATTTGAGCCCAGCCTGGGCAATTTAACAAAATTTTTCCTCAAAATTAACAAAAATAAAGGGCTGGGGATGTAATTCAGTATGAAGACCTTTGTTTGGTTCAATAGATCTTCAGGGAAGGGAAGGGGAAGGGAGGGGAGGAGGAGGAGGACAAGGGAAAAATGGGATGAATCTTATCAAATCATGATTCCAGGGGATTACAGGGTGGCTCCCACACACCACTCTTCACGGGGAATTGAACTCACGATCTCATGGTTGCCAGGCAAATGCTGCGCCACTGAGCCATATCCCTAGCCCTCCCACATCACTCTTCCCTCTTCCACATCCTCTCCCCCTACCTGTGGGAACAGATGTGGGGAGCCATGCCCACAGAAAGACAGCTGACTTGCATGTTTTTCAAATATTTTATTAAGAATAAGGCATATGACAGTCACCCCTAAAAGCACAGGGCTCTATTTCTGTGGGTGAGTGAATACACTCTGAAAAGCATTGGATTAAAAAGCGCAGCCAACAGAGAATTTGGAGCAGGATCCCTCTGCCCTGCATGCTACCCCATCCGAGGCTGGCACGTCAGTGAGAGGGTGCTCAGGGGTCCCTGGACTCCTAAAGTGAGGAGCTGTTGCTCCTCATCCTCTGGCCTATTTCCTCACCACCAGGGAGGACTTTATCTTGCTGCCTGTGTGCAGGAAAGGCTACCTCATTTTGGCCCTGAACTGGTCACCCAAAGTGCAGGTCACGCTGGAAGGGATACAGGGAGAAGGGGCTGGAGCTTCCTGGTGCATTGCCCCCTGGTCCCTAGCTGGCTTCCAGAATGTGCAGGGGGCTCCCTCCACAGCTTTCCCTCCCGGGTCTGTCCACACTTGGAGTGTGGCAGGAGCCCCACGGAAGGACTCTGCATAGCCCGTCAACACTTTCTCTTCCATGCTGAGAATGTGTGCAGCAGAGAAAAGTAGGGAAGAAATGCTCCTTCCCCTTCTCAGTCACCTGGACCTTCCAGGGACTGGGCTGGGTGGTTGTCCTCTGGCCAGTGGCGCCCCCAAGCCTGGCTTTGGAATGCTTGGAGCTGAAGCTGAGGGCAAGGCTTCTCCCAGCCCCTGGGGCTGAGGTTCTGCCTCAGGCGGATGGAAGGCAGGTGGAAGGAGTCTCTAATCCATTACTTCCAGCAGAAGCTGGGAGGAAGAGAATTTTTTTTTTTTTTTTTTTTTTTTGTCTTTTAGAGACAGGGTTTTGCTATGCAGTTCAGGCTGGCCTTGAACTCACTTTGCAGCCCAGGCTGGCTTAGAACTCACAGCAAACCTCTTGCCTCAGCCTCCCAAGTGCTGGGATTACAGGCCTGTGCCACCACACCTGGCTGGAAGGAATTTCTGCTAAAATTGGAACCCTGTATCTGTCTTGGTCTCCCCATCATCCCCCTTGGTGGAGAAGGGTTCCCATACTTCCTTTCCCAGACACCCCAGCACTCAGAACTTTTCATTTGGGGGATCTCCAAGCACCCCACAAACAAGTCTCATCTCTGGTTGCTGGAAGAGGGACAGGATTTGGGAGATGCCAATGGGATCACTTGGGGAGAGGCAGGCCGGCCACAGCAGGGTCCCTGGGGCTGGGGTGTGATGGGGCCTCTCCTAGTTGGACACCCTGGGAACCTAGGAGGGAAGAAGAGGGCTATTGCTATAGAGCTGTGAGAGAGGCCGGGTGGGCACTATGGCTTTTAGTTGGTGGGAGGTGGGGGTAGATAAAGGACTTCACCATCTCTGTAGAAGAATCAACATAACAAAATCACCCTGTTCACCCCAAAAGTGTAGCTTTGGGAGATGAAAGTCTGTGTGGGCTCCTCCAGCAAGAGTCCTTTCCCCGCCTTCACAGTCCCCCAAAAGAGGGGTGCAAGACCCCAATACAGCAGGTTCTGATAGGGAGGCTGGCAGCATAGAGCACAGCGAGTCACACATGCTGGAGTGGGGCCTGATGCCAGGGCCAGCATGGGGACTGGGGTGTGGCAAAGGTGGGAGCAACAGAGCAAGGACCCCCAGCTCCACCTCCAACACCTGACTCCCAGGAGCAGGACAGCCAGCCCAGGCCTGCTTATTTTTTTTTGTTTTGTTTTGTTGTTGTTCTTCCGGTACCAGGAATCGAACTTACGACATTGTGTTTGCCAGGCAGGCGCTGTGCCACTGAGCTAAATCCCCAGCCCCCGGGCCTGCTTACTGTTTGGTGGCCTTAAGCAGTCCTGGGTGGGGTCAGTGGGAGAGGGCTGCATGTCTGTCTAGGCTGGGAGTGTGCTCAGTTTTCTGCTCTTTCTTGTTTTTGCTCCCTCTAATGTAGCACAGCAGGGGACAGGGACCAGGGATTTTCTCTCCAGGGGCCATGACATGAAAAGTTTGTCATCTCCAGAGACTGACTCTTCACCTCCCAGACTCCTGGTGACATACAGGATGTGCAGCCTCTGCCAGGGTCAGGAGCTGCCAGGGACTAGATGTCTGAGTGAGGGGAAGGTGTCCTCCCTGGGCACCCCCTGGAAGACCTCACAGGCACTTAGGACTCGATGAAGGACCAACCCAGGAGGGATGGCATGGGGGCTTTGGGGACTGTTTCTAGGTTGGGCTTGGGTAGGGGCAATGAGCTGGGCTGAAGCTGTACTTTTTGCCTTTGGTGGTGAGGTGAGGAAAAAGGGAGCATGTACGTGTGTGTGTGTGTGTGTGTGTGTGTGTGTGTGTGTTCTGCTTTCCATTTCACTATTCCCTGATCCAGACAGGGAGCCGTAGGTGCACCCTGCCACTACCAGGTGTGGACAGACTTAGGGGCAGCCCTGGAGGCGAGCCAGGCTGGGGACTAACTTGCCTTCCCCCACCTTCCCCCTCCGCAAACCCAAACTTCTACCAACAGCTGCCACTTCCAAGAAGCCAGGTCCTCCTTTCAGCCTGGGGTGCAGCCAGCTGCTTAGGAAGCTGGGCAAAATTAGCACCAATAACCGGAGGAGGCAGACTCCCAGGGCAGCCTCCAGGAGGGGAAAGGCAGTCCCTGTCCTCCCACAAGCCTCCATCCCACCTCATTGCCCCAGGACGGCTCCTGTTTCCCCAACCCCTGCGTGGCGGACCCTGGAGCTGAGATGGGGACAGCTCCAGACCAGGTCAGGTCCTGCCACCCAAACCATTCTAGAACCCTAAGGGTCCAGAAGTGCAACTTCCATCCAGCCCCACTTGCCCCACCAGGGGCTCTGGGAAGACGTGACCTCTAAAGTGTTCCGTGCTCACCTGCAAGGATTTCGACGGGGATAGGGGTGGGAACAGCGTTTCCCGAGTAAAGGACCAACCTGAGCCCGGGCCTCTTCCCGGGAGGAAGAAGGCTCGGCAGGGCCGGAGGAGGCAAGGCAGGGAAGCTAGAAGCCTAGGGGTGCCAACTGCGCTCTGCATTCCTTCCTGTAGGCTAGCCTTTCTCCTCCTTCCCAAAAGATTGTCCGCTCCCCCAAGGCGGAGCGTGATCTCCGCTGCCCCCCGCCCAGGGGGCCGGTGGGGACCAGGACAAGATCGTGCTGCGAGTCCTCCACAAAAGGTGCAACCGCTCAGCCTTCTCAGAGGAGCTGCCTCGTGGGAGGGGAGAGCTCGAAGCTTCGGAAACGTTGGGAAATACAAAAGGCGGGGGCGGCTCGAGGGGCTGGGGACCCAGGATGGGTGGCCTCAGTCCCCCGGACCCGCCAGCAGGGCTCTCATAGCCCGCGCCTACTCCGGGTCCCCGGGCGCTCCGGGCGGGCTGGGCGCGTTGGGCTGCGCGCCGCCCTGGTCCGGGGGCTCCTGGGGCGGCGGCTGGCGCGG